AGATATGGTGTACAAAGATTACTTCTTACTTCTGTGAACGAAATAATGGTACATATGAAAACGAGCCGGGAAACATCGATACATCCTCAGCCAAGACGACAAATTTTCGAAATCTTTTAGGGAAGGGGCAAACCCGCTGTAGTCGATGGCGTTCTGGATGAAGAATAGCTCGACGTAACATAACAGTTTTTCGGTAGTTCCCGAAACCGCGAACGTCAAGAAGTCACGTGACTAGTGCTGCGGTTTGTAGCCTGTTCCAGGCTCTCAGAAAGTGGGAAAGACGCGAAAGTGAAAGGCACGCAAAAAGGGTGGCGGGGCGCCGGAAAAAGGAAAAAAGGAAGGGAGATCCGACTATCTTGCAACCTGGAACGGGATATGCGGTTTGAGGTTATGTTTGTACTAGCCTGTTCACAGACCCTCTATTTTCTCTTCTAAGTACGCCGAGCGCCGTTGATAAAATATAAACCGCAGGGGATTTATTGACCGCCAGCGCAAGGGGGTAGTGGTGGGGGAAGAAGAAAATAGACGTTCTTAATTTTTCTTTCCCGCGCTTTGCGCTCGTTCTCGTGTGCTCGCTTCGCTCGCGAACCCGCCGATGTTTTCGAAAAGAACGAAAAGAAAGAAAAAAAAACAACGCCTGTGTACAGGCTATGTTTGTACGGCTACATCACGCTCTGGACTAGAAGTCTGAAAGGTAAGTAACTTACGGTTACCGCAAAGATTTTTGCGCGCTAAAACATCACAATTCCCCATTTGAGAGGTTACAGTACGTTTTAGAACTCTTTTGCTTATTAATTATCGAATTAACTGAAGCCCGGAGGTAATTTTGAAAAGCGATTTCCAAGCTAAAATAGAAGTCAACAAATGAATGCCGGAAAACAAACATCGCAGTCGCGAGCAACCACCCGCGAATCTTATGCACCAAACATGGGCAGACGGCTTACTTAAAACTGCGGTTCACCGATTACGGTAAGATAGCCAAACCTCGATCTTAAGGTCGCTAACAAAGAAGAAACGGCAAACGTCACATTCAATTTGTTTCTCGAAACGGGAAATGAGCATATAAAAATTTTCTTATACAGGGCCCCAATGGCATTTTCTGTAAAGTGTCTATTCCAAGGAGCAAATGGTGCCTAAAATTTTTCTAAGATTTACGGAGGTTGTGTTTTTCACATTTTATCACGTTGCGATTATCCACAAAAAAGGACTTCCGAAAATAAAGAGGAAACGTCCCCAAAAAATTAATTACGGCTACTCGATCCATGTCCTCGAAATGTTTTGTCTCAGTTTCCTGAGTTCAAAATCAAAACAGCTTCTGTTTTGGTTGCAAATTGTAAATAACGTTTTGGATAACTTCCCTTTCGTTCAGCGAGTAAAGGTATTAGTGGTCTCAAGATCTTTTCTTTCAAGGGATACTCAGACTTCACTATAAATGACAAGCCGGTAAAAAAGTAATAAAATAAATAACATGAATAAAAATGTCTTTTTTCTCCTGAATCGATACACATCCTTCGTTAGTAGCCCTAAAAACGGCGTTTATTTTTTGACAGGAGTATTCTTCATTCTAACTCACGCCCAGGGGATAAACTTTTGAGGTCAATTTATATTTGAACACCTGACTGATGAAGGTATACCCCACCGAGACAGGCGTGGCGGAAGAGAGAGCGGGGGGGGGGTCTTTAAGAGCGCGATTTCTCATCTCCCCGGCTTTCAAAAGCCTGTGGGTGAGCATGGGGATCATCATTGAAATCATCCTGATCATCATCATCCTTCAACTGCCGTCGAGTCCTATGCCGCTCTTTGATTGCTATAGTACACTGAGGGTGAAAGTTCTCTAACGATTTGTGAAGCAAGAGGAAAATTAATTGGGAAGTTGGAAGATAGGAGGGCTTTTGGTTCTGTGCTTTTCTTCCTGAACAGGGATGTATGTCGGCGTGTTCTAAACATGTCTGAATCTGTCCTTAAGTTGGTATTATAACGCGATTGCAAGTAAGAAGGTCATGGGCCGAAGCAAGGTAAAATATGAGTGTGTACTTGGTCGGTCATAGTCCTATTAAAATAGATCCTATTTTTCTCTTATACGATGGTCGCACGAACTTAGCTAGCGCATCAATGTGAAACGCGAGAGGGTGGCGTCGGTAACCAACTCAAGTTTTGCAATCGCGCTTTTTTCACTCGCTAGATGTTTCTATCTTTGCACTAGGTTAATGAGTAAGGGTTCCAAATACCACCCCTATACCACAAAGAACACCCCCCCCCCCCCCCCCCTACCCCCCCCCCCCCCAAAGAAACCCCCAAAAATCACATTTACCCCCCTGGTTCTTTTTCTCAAACATACCAAAAAAACTTCGCACGTGTTCTGAAAAATAAATATTTTTTTCTTCCCAAACAATCATTTAAAATTTCAACACCACGAGATCT